GCCTAAGTGTTAACAATTGCCTACAAATTAGCCTCTATGGTATACCAAATGTAACACAGTGACAAATATCTTTCTATCTAAACTTTAAAAAGATACAGAAAAATTATGGTATTATAATCTTATGCAACCACCACCTTATATGCAGCCCATCCTTGACTGAAATGTTGTTATGTGGCGCATGACTGTAGTTTGTTAGGTATTAAACAGAACTATCTGTGGGGAACCTGGCACCTTGAGAGGTGACATGTATACCAAATACAGCAGCTCCTTCAGATCTAAGCTTAGCCACTGCCCACACAGTACCAATACAGGTACCTCTCTTTTGTATACTTTGTAATAATATTTATAATTTCACATTTCAGTGATTATTTGATTAATGTCTTTCTCCCTTGCTGGACTAATTGTCTTCCCAATTTTCAAAGCTTTTCTGATTTCATTACAACTCAGGAATACTCACTTCTATCTCCTAAAATTCCAGTCCTATATCATATCTCCTCAGGTCCCCACCTTCCAGTCCTGGCTCTCATCTCTTACTTCCCTAGATCCCTCAGTTTTTCTCACATACTTATTGATCCCCTTCAATTTGCAGTTCTAAGACTCAAATTTATTTTCCTTTATCCATTTAGTTTCTAAAAAAAAAAAAAACAACCTTATTTTAATATCTCTATTACTATTTGTCATCCATATTACCTTCATTTTTTATTTTTAATGCATAGTTCCATCTTTGGGTAACTGTCTCTAATATGGACAATAAATTAATTCAGTTCATGTATACTGGAATTCTTGTGATTGCCAAAATTTTCATAGACTAGAATATGGGGGTGGGTCACTGACTTAATCTATTTATCTATATTCTCAAGGTATATACAAGCATATGGTGCCTAAGACTTATATCAGATCTTAAAAACAAAACAAACAAACAAAACAGCAGACCTTTTCTGGACCAATCAGAAAAGGATCCAGATCTCTGCCTGAATAGCATTCCCCTCTCCCCAGAGCAGCCCCTCTAACTCAGTCTGGTTAGCGGCAGACTATACAATCACCTAATTCAGGAGACTTTTGACTTCCTTGGGCCACAGAGGAACAAGAAGAATTTTCCAGGGATACACATAAAATACACTAAAACTAATGATAGCTGATGATCTTTTTTAAAAATTACAAAAATCTCATAATGTTTTAAGAAAGTTTACGAATTTGTTGGGCCACATTCAAAGCCATCCTGGGCTGCATGAGGCCCACGGGCTGTGGGTTGTACAAACCCATTCTAATTGTTAAAATAGTCTGGAGATACATTGCAGTCTATGATGAACAAGCATGATTAACAACTATTTTAGATTACTATTCTCTAAAAGACATGTAAAACAAACTAGTTAGTGCATTGCTTCTAAAAACAGAACTAATCTTTCCAAAGTGCTTTTAAGTATATAATCTGCAAGATTTTCTTGTTTTCTTTAATACATTTTAAACTTAAGTAGTTTCTATTTATTCTTTGTTTTCTCTCTCCTTCTTAGTAAAAAGATACCTAGATATTTACAGGAAGAAATTATCTTCTACTTTTTCTCACTTACCCTAAATTCTCTATATGTGAGTCCTTTAATCCTTCCTCGTATTAATCCTTTAAATGTTCTCTCATTTGTGCTGATTATACGGCTGGCTTTGTAAGCACAAAGTGGAGACCTTGCTAAAACATGCAGACCTACAACACAGTCCTTTTTGAGTCTCATATTACCCTGCCTTACCTCTTCACTAAGTCCAGAAACAGCTGGGGCTGAAACAGAAACTGTTAATTACCAATCCAATATCTATTTCCACTTCTTCCTTGCTATGAGAGCCCCAATTTTATTCAGGTAGCAATATTAACCAGGCCCAAACAACTCATCAGGATTGCTATGATGATCTTCTCCCCTCCCTTTCCCAGCCTCTTTTTACACGTAGAGGTGGCTCAGTGAGAAATCTGCAGGAGGATTACAAGCAACAAAAAGGAAATCCACAGATGGGAGAAGGAAGACAGTCTGAATAAAAGTATACTTTCCCAATAAAAGATATACTTAACCCTTTTCCTTCCCACTGACTTGAGCACAGAATGGATCCAATGTCTGAAAATGTACCATCCCTAGGTCTCTCTGTCATCACTGAGCAGTGTGACCAAGTGCCAGCAACCACCTACTAAGGTTATGTTAGATGAGAGAAATAAACTTCTTTTTGTTTAAGTTACTGTTCTTTGGATAGTCAGTTATCTGCAGCAGTAAGCTTTCCTAACCAATTGACCAACCTTCCCTGATAATTCCAAATAGGGATTAGCTGCCCCGTAACAGAATGGATGAAATGTGATCAGACACTACAGGGCCACTCCATTCATGACCCACCATGACAAACTAGAAGGTAGTGTAAGAATGCCAAGTCTGGCATATATACCAAAGAGAACTCGTATTTTTTTATTCGACCTGGCCCTATCACCAGACCTCAAAATCTATTCCATGTGGGAGTCTGATGATCACTCATTTTAAGCCTTGTGGAGAACGGAATAAAAAACCAAATACAATATAAAGTTCAATTCCTATTCTTAAATGACCCTCATAAGAGCTGCTTGTAAATTATGCAACATAATTCCAACAAAGGAGCTAAAATCTTACCTCTTCATTTTCCAACCTGCCTCTGATGTAAATACCAACATGCCCATAGGCAGAAAAGGTTATGAAGGAGAAGTAAATAAATATGGCGAATGCAAAAAGTAAATGATTAAGGCTCTATAAAAAGACAAAAAAACACAAGATTCTCCACAAATTCGTTTGAAAAATGCAGACAAGTCACCTGCTAGTCTTCTGCTACTGTATGTATGCTGATATCACCCAAATCATTGATACAGTTTTTACGCTGCTGTGAATTGTAATACTGATAACAAAAAATCATGCAATAGTTTACTCCTTAAGAAGACATCCTAAACTTAGTTTTGTATGTGATGCAAAGAAGGCAGAAATCCATTACAGTGCACTGACTGCTGTTATAAAAATAATCTTAATCTTTGAATTCTTTACCCAAATTCCCCAAGACTTTTGTAAGAGCTATTTATGCTACTTATAACATAACTGGCTATTTAATACCTACCTGGCTCGTTGGTTGAAGGCTAATGATTGGCTTTTTAAAGAGTACTTGTACAACTTGCATGAACCACTGTCTTTACCAGCTTTAATCTCAAATATATTTTCATGTTCAAATTTCCAGTGGTCTCAAAGTTTATCCTTCTGGGTTTTTTTAACCATTTATTTAAGTCAAGATCCAAGTAAGTTCATCACTTTGCAACTCATCAATAAGGTTTTTAAATCTGTTTTAATCCAAAGGCTCCCCCTCCAACTCTTTTTTAATCTTACAGTTTGTCAGAGAAACCGAGTTGTTTGTTCTCTTATTTCCCAGTTTGGATTTTGCTTATTTCATTTTCTAGAGTCGTTTGATGTGTTCCTCTCTTCTCTAGCTATGTTGTAAAATGGTGGCTGGATCTGAAGTCTTGATCACATTCAAATTTGATTATTCTTCCATTAGAAGGTACCCATGTAATCCCAGCACTTTGGGAGGCTGAGGCAGGTGGATCACAAGGTCAGGAGATCGAGACCATCCTGGTCAACACGGTGAAACCCCGTCTCTACTAAAAATACAAAAGATTAGCTGGGCATGGTGGCGCGTGCTTGTAATCCCAGCTACTCAGGAGGCTGAGGCAGGAGAATTGCCTGAACCCAGGAGGTTGCGGCGAGCCGAGATTCGCGCCATTGCACTCCAGCCTGGGTAACAAGAGCGAAACTCCGTCTCAAAAAAAAAAAAAAAAGAAGGTACCCCAATGACTCATCGTCTTTTTGTGATGGTCAATGCCTAGATCCATTAGATTGTTAGGGTTTGTAATTTGGTGATATTCTATCATTCTTTCTTCATTTACCTACTGAGGTACATTTATAAAAAGACCAATTTAGGCCAGGCGCAGTGGCTCCCACCTGTAAACACAGCACTTTGGGAGGTCAAGGCAGGTGGATCATCTGAGGTCAGGAGTCCGAGACTAGCCTGGCCAACATGGTGAAACCCTGCCTCTACAAAAACTACAAAAATTCGCCAGGCATAGTGGCACATGCTTGGAAGTCACTCGGAGGCTGAGGCATGAGAATCACTTGAACCCAGAAATCAGAGGTTGCAGTGAGCCAAAATCACACCACTGCACTCCAACCAGGGCAACAAAAGCAAAACTCCATCTCAAAAAAAAAAAAAAGGTTGTTAGTAATATAGTTTATATAGAAACAGAAAAATAAATACTTGACTTCTTTTTTTGCCCATTTTCATAATAATGAGGTACTTCTTCAGAACCCTCCAATGATAATCAATTGGTTCCTTTTCATCTCTTAATGTCATTATGGACTCATTTAATTATTTCATGCTTTAATCCATTGCTATTATTATTCATATCGACGTAGACTTGTTCCATCTTTGGCCAGTGGGAGCCTCTTCTGAGTCTGTTGGACACCTCCCGAACAGTCTTTGTAGTTTCCTTGCTATCTACCATTATGTTTCATACTCAATTTTAAAATTCCCTACTCCAGAACTGAGTTAGCCATTTCCCCAAGAAAGAACCCTCATTCCTTTTATTAAGAAATGGTATCTGGATTTCATGATTGGAGTCCCATCGTAAATTGAGAAACATCTGTCCTTACAAAGCAGCTAACCTGCTGTTTTTCTTTTCAGTGTACCCTTTCTGTCATTTTCTACTTAAATTCCTCCCTATTTTTTCAACTTATTTCTTACCAACTTTCTGCAAAACACAATTTATCCAAGATCCCAACTTACATTAATAAGAAAGGAATACAAAAGACAAAAAGAAGCTTTCCTGTGTCAATTTTAAAAGAAAATTTTATTTAAAAGCATTCTCTGTTCTTAAAAAAGTGGGGGGAAATGTTAACCTGTGTGTAAATGTTTTATGCTGTATATAAAAGTAAAACATTATAATGGAAAATAAAATCTCATACCTTTCAGCACTAAATGCTGACTCTGTATCAATGTACACCACAGCTCCTTCTAATCCTCCCATGTTGGTGGGTAATGTAGCTAAAATACTCATCATTATACAAAACTGAGTTTTTCCACAACCTGGTGGACCTGTTATCTAAAGAAAAAAAAGAAAAAAAAATGTTGTTTGGATAAACATCACAAGCCAGTCAAAGCAAAATCCTTTTAAGACCTTGCTATATATGCAAAGCTCTTAAAAGATATATGCATATATACCTCTGGGCTCCCGAGACAGAATTAAGCCCAAACACCCCAAGACATCCATTGTATATAATGAATTAACTTCTCTCCTCTGAATTGGCACTAGTTATATACTATCCTTAGAAAAATTGAGAAAAACAGTCACTCGAATCATCCACTGTATTTTGTAGTTCAGATGGAAAACTTTCAGTTGAGAAAGGCTGAAACATTCACTCATTTATACCATCATAACTTGGTGTTCTGTAACTTTTCCTCACAAAGATATTTATGATAGGACTTTGAAAATATTTAAGAGTCTTTAACAAATGGTTGAGCATTTGTTACAAATTGGCATTTCAAAACAAAACTGTACTGGTACCATTAAGGGCTATTTTAATCCATATTTTTAAGAGTATTTAAGGGTGAAGTGTACTGACGTATACAGTTTACTTTCAAACAGTTCAACAAATAAAAATGTGTGTATGCAAACACATATGTGTGTGGAAAGAGAAATAAAGCAAATTTATTGCTTTGCAAACAATTGCTGAGTTTAGGTGATGCATACTTTGAAATAGCTGTTTTGAAATCTTTATTGACAGAAAACTATTTTGAGATTATCAAAGTTGAAATCGCCGGGCGTGGTGGCTCAAGCCTGTAATCCCAGCACTTTGGGAGGCCGAGGCGGGTGGATCACGAGGTCGAGAGATCGAGACCATCCTGGTCAACATAGTGAAACCCCGTCTCTACTAAAAATACAAAAAAAACTAGCTGGGCGTGGTGGCGCATGCCTGTAATCCCAGCTACTTAGGAGGCTGAGGCAGGAGAACTGCCTGAGCCCAGGAGGCGGAGGTTGCGGTGAGCTGAGATCGCGCCATTGCACTCCAGCCTGGGTAACAAGAGCGAAACTCCGTCTCAAAAAAAAAAAAGAAAGTTGAAATCAAAAATATATCCTTTAAGATAAGCTATTTTTCCCATTAGCTGGGGCACCCAAGTTGTTAGGACCAATGCATCATTTATTTGTGAAAATAACACTAAATAACATTTTTTTCACAATGAGAAGGGGAGAGAAGAGGAGGGGAAAAGAAAAAAAAGTCTAAGATAGAAATGAAAAAAACTCCGGGTTAAAACTGAGACATACAATAAGGAAACTGTCTCAGATATATTATGAAGTAGAAAGAAACAAATACAAATGATCCATGAGTCTGAATCATCTAAATCTGTAGTTCTCAGATTTGAGTGAGCATTAGAATCACCCGGAAAACTTGTTAATCAGCATTTCTGGTTCAGTAGGTCTGAGTTATGGCCTGAGAATTTACAGTGCTACTAAGTTCCCAGGTAATGCTAATGCTATTTATACACTTTAAGAACCACTGTTTCAGAATATAGTCTAAAGGTGAACTTCATTTATCAAAGTTCAACCTTAAAACACAAATGTTCAGCACATGCCTGTAATCTCAGCTACTCTGGAGGCTGAGGCAGGAGGATCACTTGAGCCCAGGAGTTCAAGACCAGCCAGAGCAACATAGCAAGACCTATGTCTCCAAAAAAAAAAAAAAAAAAGAAAATTCCCACATTAGAAATTATGTGCTGGTTTATAATCTTTTACAATGATCCTTTAGACTTTAAGAACAAATAATTACTCCTGTGAATAATAGCTTGCCAGATTATCAGTGATCAGTAAAGAGAGTTCTCCAAACTTCTTTGACCACATACTCCAACAAACCAGCCAAAAAAAGCAATCAAAATGAAATTTAGTACAACCCTCCAATATATGTATATTTATTACATACCTACTACTTTTACTAATAAGTCCTATACAGTAAAAAACCCCAAAAAAAAATTAAAAATTGCAAACATTAACAATCATTTGATAATATTTATTACTTATATAAAAGATCTTTTTGCTCTCATAAAAGCTTAACATTTTTAGTAGAGCAATGATAATAATGAAAATAATAAGAAACCAAATTGTATTTTTAAAAAATAATATAAATATTTTGTGATTTGGTGATTGAAATGTGGGGTCCTAAGTTCCATTTATTTCAGTACTTAATTGTAATTCCCTTCCAAGCTGAGAAGGGGATAATTACAAAGATATAAGAATTAAAATTAGTCGGGCGCGGTGGCTCAAGCCTGTAATCCCAGCACTTTGGGAGGCCGAGGCGGGTGGATCACGAGGTCGAGAGATCGAGACCATCCTGGTCAACATGGTGAAACCCCGTCTCTACTAAAAGTGCAAAAAATTAGCTGGGCATGGTGGCACGTGCCTGTAATCCCAGCTACTCAGGAGGCTGAGGCAGGAGAACTGCCTGAGCCCAGGAGGCGGAGGTTGCGGTGAGCCGAGATCGCGCAATTGCACTCCAGCCTGGGTAACAAGAGCAAAACTCCGTCTCAAAAAAAAAAAAAAAAAAAAGAATTAAAATTAACGAAATACATAATTTGTTGGACTTAAATAAATTATTATTTGCATTTTTCAATACCTTCCATCAATCATGCAAAAGTTTTTGTTGATCTTTAAGAAATTTCCATCTTCCCTTATGTCAATTGATCATTTCTACAGACTAATTAAAACATATCACATTTTAACATTTTCAGCAACTGGCTTAAAAACCCACTGAAACTTTTTTTTTTCTTACATTTATTTATTTTTATAGAAGTATGACACTCAGCTAGAAAAATACACAAATTACATATGACCAGTCTGATGGATCTCTACCATGATACTCATTTGCTACCAGATATGTATTATGGGTTTTGCTTGTTTTAATATTTTTAATTGATAAATAACAATATATATTTATGGAGTTCAATATATTTTGAAATATGTTTACAGTACATTGTAGAATGGTTTAATCAAGCTAATTAACATATCTATCACTTTATATACTTATCTTTTTTTGGTGAGAACATTTAAAATCTATTCTTTTAGCTATTTGAAATACACAACATTATTACTAACTATAGTTACCATGCTGTACAATAAATCACCAAAATTTATTCCTATTGCATAACAAACTTTAAGACTCTTATCAACATCTCTCATTCCTCTATTACCCCTTCCGCCTACTGACTAAACTCTTCATTTGGAACATTTTTGAAGAGTATACAAAATATTTTTCCAAGTATTTTTTAAGAGTGCAGATAAGTTTTCATAAGACACACATATCTTTGTCAACAAAAATCACATGATAAAAGAAAGATTTCCAGTGATTTTAAAAACATTCTCTCTGTGTTTTCATGACAGCCTTTACAAAAGGCAGTTACATTTTCACTCCTTGTTAAAACATTACCTTTACCTTGAAGGAATGAAGTAAGAGTGTCCATTGATTGGTTGGTTGCTGGGTATTTAATCTACATGCAGATTACATAGTCACTGTCACACACAAAGAATGAGCAAATTTGACATCTCTTATCTTTTCATTTAAAAAACACATGCCTCACCCATCTTTTTTTTTTTTTTTTTTTTAAGGCAGGGTCTCATTCTGTTGCCCAGGCTGGAATACAGTAACATGAACATAATCCACTGCAGCCTCAACTTCACACATGCCTAGCTTTTGTCGATTTTTAAAAATTTTTTGTGGAGACTGGGTTTTGCCATGTTGCCCAGACTGGTCTCAAACTCCAGGACTCAAGCCATCCACCCACCTCAGCCTCCCAAAGTGCTGAGATTACAGGCATGACGCACCGTGCCCGGCCAACTCATCTTTTAAATTCAATAATTCTTTTATAATCTTTCCTTTAAGATAATCAGAGATGCTCTTGTGATTCAAATGATTCTCATGGTCACTACTCATCTCATTACAGAGTACAACAGGAATTTGATACAACAGTTGGGATTTTTTCAGTTGTTTATTTTGTTTTGTTTTGTTTTGTTTTGTTTTGAGATAGGGTCTCGTTCTGTCACCCAGGCTGGAGTGTAGTAACACAATCACATCTTACTGCAGCCTCTGCCTTCAGGGCTCAAGCCCTTTCACCTCTACCACTCAAGTAGCTGGAACTCCGGGCACATACTACCATACCCAGCTAATTTTTTGATTTTTTGTAGTGGCAAGGTCTCACTATGTTGCCCAGGATAATCTTGAACTCCTGAGCTCAAGTAATCTCATCTTGGCCTCCCAAAGTACTAGGATTACAGTCTTGAGCCAACTTGCCCAGACTAACAGTCAGAGTTTAAGAAAAATTAACAACATTGATATCATACTGAAATACTCTTTGCTCATCTGACATCAATCTATGTGTCAGATAACCTACGTATGATGCAACAGAAAAGTTGAAAGACTTTTACAGGAACCATCCATCTACCCACCACTTAGGCTCTGCATTTATAATGTTAACTGTATTTGTTATACTATACTATGACTACACCATATGCTTTCTGTATGATTAATCCATTTACCAATCCATCTTAGAGTTTTTTAATGCATTTCAAAGTAAGTCAAACACATTAATATAGTTTCCCCAACAGTCAAGCATGCATATTATTAACTAGAATTTTATATGTATTATTCCTTTTTTTCCTTTTGCAGTAAATTTTACATGTAGTGAAATGTGCAAATTATAAGTCTACCATTTCATAAATTCTAGCAAGTGTATATATGTATGCAGCCTAAACTCTTATAAAGTCAAAACACTATCATCATCACAGGAAATTATCTCATATACATTGTTTTGCATTCACGAAGTCACTTAGAATTTATTTTCCCTGATACATCTTTATTTTAATGGCACAAAAAGAAATTAGTTCTTCATGTATTTTATTACTGAAAAAAAATATAGCTACTATGATAATCTGGGCCTTGTTAGAAACAGCTGTACTTCAAATATATAGCATCCTCTGACATTAAATAATTTAAGCTCTTGATGTTTCAAATCATCTTCAAAGATTTCTACACACTTCTGGAAGTATTTGTTCACAAA